CTTCTGTCAAAACTCTTATCGTTTATTAGAGAGTTTCGCTCAATTCTTGAACCAATTTAAACTCCTCAGCATCTTTCGCGGCACATTTTCGCGTAAATGAGTTACTATACAGCGAGAAAGAAAATGATCGTCTAATCAAACGATATGAGAGAAGTCGGCGAGTCTTCAAAAGAAGCGCGCTCTCTATTTGCGTGAGACAAACCTTGAAAGAAGGACGTACGTTTCACAAATATCTTGTAAAAAAAGGCAAAAATGTGGAGACAAAATAAAAAAATGTCTGGACATTGGTCTTCCTCTCTCAGGCCTATGCAGATTTATATGTGTGTTTTTAGTAATCGAAAATGAATAATTGCATGATCCTGACAGAATTATACTAAACACTTTCCAGAACATATGCTATGCCAAGTGAATAAATAACCGGTTCTATTAATACGTTCTTAAGGCCGAAAGTTTGAATGTGACTGTATCTTTACGCGCTAAAGGTTAATGTCGCTGTATTGAAGCCAAAAACCTTAGCCGCGTCGAAGAATCTTTCGGTTTTCTAATCATTTTTCTTTTCCTAGGAAAAAGGAGATCACATTGAATACATCTAATTACATTTTTTATTGCCTATTGACTAAAATTATTCTTGAAAACGTTATCTCAAGTCAGCGGCACACGATGCATGTTTTTCCTGCTGGATCGCTTGTGTTTTGGTAAATTACTAAAATTGCACCACACAGAACGTTGAATTTCCAGTAATTTACTAAAACGCAAGCAATATCCAGCAAAAAACATGCATCGTGTGCCGCTGCGGCTTTATTGTCAAAACAATTGAGCACACATTAGCAATTTAGTGCGTGATATTTGTAGGTACAAGTTTAAAATTATACAAGCATCAGACGGAAGTTATTTAGAACTATAGATATGTACATCAAATATAATTATATTGTCTGTCATTAAACTACTGTTGAATAAGCGCTAATAATATAATCTCGCAATATAATCAGCATATAAAAAAGTAATGTATAGGATAATCTCATCGAGAGATAAAAAGTTTGCGCAACACGAGATTACATATAATTATTTTAATCTTTGCAAAATACGTTTTTATAAAAGTTTCCTATAAAAAATTATATAATAATTAGTAAACTGCGATGAGAGAAATGTCATTTAACAAGCAAATCATTAGAAGTGTGCGAATAGTTTGAATCGAAGTACGAATCACAGTAGATTCGATTCGAGTTCGTTTTCGAATCTGCAAGATTCGAAATCGAATCGTTCGAGAATTTCGAATCGATCGCCTACTTTATTTGGTTTATTTACATCTCCCGCGCGCGACCAATTATTTTTATTTAATAAATAAGTATTTTTGACATGTAATGTATTCGTATAGATTAATAAAATATTCGAAAGCTATTCGTTGTATACACATATTATTTTCTAGTTCAAAATGTCACATAAGATCCTTTGTAATGAGATGTAAATCGAAAACGGGGGTCTTCAGTTTGTTTAAATCATTGCGTAAAATAATGTAAATTATAAATTTTTATATTTATTACGTTTTAAATTAACATGTAATGTTAATCTGGGAAAATTTGATTCAGATTCGATTCGATTTCGAACATGTTATAAAAAAATTCGATTCGATTTGATTCGATTCGGCCATGCAAATGCTTGATTCGCATACCTCTACAAATCATACAGTTGTCTATTAATATTTAATACATGTATACAGCGACTGTTCACATAGCAGAGCATTAACGCTATAAGAAATTCTCGAGATATCGTATTCGCCGTATTATATAGTATAACTCGACATTCATTCAGGAAAAAGCCAACGGCGGTGCCACGGAGATAAACAGCGGAGATCTGTATCGCATTAAATAACTTTACGTTCAAACTTTACTCGATATTTACAGGGCTGGGCATATTTCAAATACTATGATTCACTATTTGAAATACAGTATATTTGAAATACAATTTGTATTTTGTATTTCAGCGGAGCACATAAAAGTATTTTAAAAGAGCTATTCAATGTATTTTGTATTTCAAATACAATTTCAATCTATTTTGTATTTGTAATACTAAAGAAATTATTGATAAAAAATCTCGACAATTAATGGTAACTTGAATTTTTCTCATATGACAATTAGCGACACTAATTATTTTCGTCAAATTTCAAGCAATATCAAGTAATCAGAGTCAAATTTCATAATCTCATATTAGTAAGTTACAGGGCTGGGCATATTTCAAATACTTGTATTTGAAATACAGTATTTAAAATACAATTTGTATTTTATATTTTGTATTTCAGCGGAACACATAAAAGTATTTTGTATTTTGTATTTCAAATAAATTATTCAATGTAT